CCCCTGGCCTGGGCTGACCTAGTTGTGGCCTAGACGGGGATTATTCACTTGCAAGTAGTTTGCTAAGTGGCCACCTGAGGGCACTGTATTCTCTGCACTCAGAAATCTATTTTTTTTTTTTCCCATCATGTACATTACCCTCAATTTGCTAAAGGATAAACTTAAGCAATACCCTAAAGAAGGGTACCCATGGAAAATGGGGGCTCATGACAGTCCTTTCTGCCTCTCTTTGTTCTTTTACTAGATTAATGTATGAGCAAGACTGACCTTAATTGAAATCCCTGGGTAACATTAAGGATGAAATAAAATAACCTCATTTAAATCTATTTAGTGTTTAGTAGAATGTCAATAAATATTAGCTCCTTCTCATACACATACGTATACAAACATACAAATGTGCTAAATACAGGAACCAGAGAAGGAACATAAGGAGGAATTACACGAGCCCTTTATCTCTCTAAAGGGGGCAGGACTCAGAAGTCCCACAATGAATGTGCAGCTGTGCTAGGAAATCATTGCAAGGAGCAAATTTATGCTGCTCTTTTCATTACATGTTGCAGCTTGTACATAATAGCCAGAGGGAATAGAACACAAACAGCTGGGAAATAAAGATGAAAGCAAAACTGTATCAGCAGGGAGAGACACAGAACCCCTGAGAACTCGGCAGTATCATGAAAGGTAATTTGAACAAGGTCACCTGCATGGAATTCCTCTTCTCTGAGAAAGATCGTTAGACTCCTGCCCGTTTCTGACCATCTCCAGCGGAGTCAAGGTGGGGAATGGGATAAATGGTCCCTAGCTTGCAAATTTCTACACTAAATTCCTGTCTATATAATTACTTAGAGATGCAGATAAAAGCATGCCTTATTATAAAGGCCCAAAACATTACTCGATGGCTGAAAACAAAGAAATTCTGCTTAAGCACAAGGAGAGCCTGTTGAGGTCTCCCCCCCCACCCCCCCCTCCGCCACAACCTCAGTCTTGTAAGGCAGGTTTTGTGGCCTGATGCTGCCCTCTCGTGTCTTTTTACGGTATGGTAACATGAAGAATAAAAAAAAAAAAAAAAAATCCTGAAGCAACCAATGTCTCTTGACCCAGGCCTGATAAAACAAAAAACAAAACAAAAATAAAATTCTAAAATAAAAGTAAAACCAGGATTTGTACTAAATTCAAAAGATTTAAATTTTGCTTCAACATGGACACTGCATCCTTTCAGGGCTCTGAAACACAAATGGCATCTAGATTAGTGAGTACTCTTCAAAAATACAGACACCTGCCATTTCCAGCACATTACTGTCAAATGATTACTACTTCAGTCTGTCTGAAGCAGGATCCAGAAACTTGCATTTCATCAACCCCACCACATGACTCTGAAGTGGTAAAGTTGGCTGACCTCACTTTGAGAAGAACTTTGTGGCAGAGACTTTGAGTAGAGTGTAAAGTAAATAGGATAATTTTTCTTTAATTCTTTAAGGGCAAAATACACATGAAATAAAACCATCAACCAAAACAGGTCACCTTTCATTTTTCCCACATTTAGAGTGTCTGAATTCTACATGACTTGCACGCTAAGAAAACAATGCTGGTCAATTCAAAGTGAAGAGTTCCTGTAGGTGCTCTCCTACACCAATTAGCCCTCCCTAATTCCAGTGGGCATCCAGGTGGGGAAGGAGAAAATGCCTAGTTGTTTTACTCATCCTTCTGAAATCCCTTAAGCATACCTTCCTCTAAAACTCTGCCTGGGGGCGCCTAGGTGGCTCAGTCATTAAGCGTCTGCCTTCGGCTCAGGTCATGATCCAGGGTCCTGGGATTGAGCCCCATAGGGCTTCCTGCTCCGCGGAAGCCTGCTTCCCCCCCTCCCACTCTCCCTGCTTGCGTTCCCTCTCTAGCTGTGTCACTCTCTGTCAAATAAATAAAATCTTTAAAATAAATAAATAAACAAAACTCTTCCTCATGCCACCAGATTCGTTTAAATGCCCTGATGTGGCTCCAGGGAGTCTGGTTCTTCTCTGTCCTGCAAATGCCCCAACTCAATCTGCTCCATGGGACAGAAAGCTTCTCATGACAGGAACTCTTTCTTCCTTTTCAAAAATGCACTCTCCGGGGAGCCTGGGTGGCTCAGTTGGTTAAGCGTGCCTGTCCCAGGATCAGTCCTGCATTGGGCTCCCTGCTCAGCAGGGAGTCTGCTTCTTCCTCTGACCCTCCTGCTCTTGTGCACTCTCTCTCTCTCAAATAAATAATTTTTTTTAAGATTTTATTTATTTACTCATGAGAGGCAGAGAGAGAGAGAGAGAGAGAGAGAGAGAGAGAGAGAGAGAGAGAGAAGCAGGCCCCCAAGGAGCAGGGAGCCTGATACGGGACTCGATCCCAGGACCCTGGGATCATGACCTGAGCTGAAGGCAGACACTTAACCATCTGAGCCACCCAGGCGCCCCTCAAATAAATAAATTTTTTTAAAAGAAATGCACTCTCCACTCTTTACACAGAGTAAATACTCCTTATCTGGCCAATGCCTCTCACCACACACACCAAAAGTTGGTAATGATGGAAGCTAGGCGATGTGTTGCCACATGACCACGCTCTCTTCTTAAGCTCCTTCTAGTCGCTGGCACACAGAGCAAGCATGCTTCTTTGGGGTGATCATTGCCATTGGATCACACATTTAATTTATAAGTCCACGGCTTTGGCTTTTAATTTTTAAGTTTTTAATTTTAGGAACTTGCTTCCACTTTTTGGCATAGTCTGATAAATTTGTAAACACATAGGAACTTTACCAGGTAGAGGGGGATAGTCATTAGTATAGAATCTCTATTCACCTGGGAAATTCACTTCAAATTTAAATAGTGGGTTTTTTTTTTTAAATACAGATGCACTCAGTCAGAAGTCACTGCTTAGTATCTTAATATTACATAAAATGCAATTTTTAACTCAGTTTTAGTTTTTGCATTGTGGATAAAGCCTTTTTACACTCGGAATCATGAAATACTCAATTTTTTTTTTTTTAGATTTTATTTATTTTTATTTGAGAGAGAGAGAATGAGAGATAGCACGAGAAGGAAGAGGGTCAGAGGGAGAAACAGACTCCCCTCCAAGGAGGGAGCCCGATGTGGGACTCGATCCCGGGACTCCAGGATCATGACCTGAGCCGAAGGCAGTCGCTTAACCAACTGAGCCACCCAGGCACCCGAAATACTCAATGTTTTAATAAAAAATCAGCTCTGAGGGTGATGTAGATTGGTAAAAGTCCCCTCTACCACCAGAAAGAAAGCTACACCATGACCTCCCACTACCCTCACTTCTATTTTTTATTGAATAAACAAATATTTACCTCAGGAGACAGTGTCCTAATTGTCCAATGAGATAGAACCCAGGGCCTTGCACTACTTCTCTATACCCTCACTGTGAATGTAAGTCTGTGCAGGTCACGTACTTCCACCAACCAGGAACTGCTTCTTTTCCAGCCACTTTAGTGTCCCACACAGTGTCCGGTGTCCAGGGACATTCATTTAGGCTTACTGAGGTCTCTCCCCTCCTCCACAAACAGGACACCATCTTGCTTTAGCTTTGGTGGCTGGCATGGCCAGGACACCGAATGTTAGTTACAATCTCTCCCTTTCCCTTGACAATTACCACCTGAACTCCCTGTGCAAAACAGGGGTACTCACAAAATAGGAAAATACGGAAAATGCACTCCATTTCAGTTAGGGAGAAGAAAGAGAAAGAGCTTTAGCCTGTTAAACAGCATTTCCTTTGAATTTCATTTTCCCTCCTGAGCTAAGCTATTAGCTGTGTGGACACAAACAGGATCGCTCTGAAGTTAACAAGAGGCCCACCCTGAAAGAAGGACAATAGGCATTATCACACATTTTATGTGTTGGACACATATAATCCTGGGATTGTAAATATATTCTGCAGTTACAGGACGTGAAATACGTTTCTTTCTTCTTTCACCTGATTTAGAAAGAGCATTTTTCTCTAGAAAGAGTTCTGTTGGATTTTCTCTTTCCATTTCTCTAACTTCCCCATGCATTTACCTTTTGAATCAAAGGAAAAGTTCCCATCAATATAAATCAACAGCTCTTATCAAGCAAAAATGTGCGCACAATGATCCCCTCAGGGCACTGGGATGCATCAGGGTAGAGGAGCAATGGAGGGGGGCCTGTTGTCAGCATGGGGGGGGGCGGGAGCTGGGGGGTGGAGCTTGTATTCACTGTGTCAGGTGTTTTATTCCTGGGCAAGACACTCAAAGCTCAGATTTCCTCCATTCATGATAAAATGCTGATAAAACCTCATCCAATGCTTATCGCCATGTTAAATGAGATGGGATATATGGATATGTTCTTAGCCAATCACAAAGGCCCATTCAAATAGAAACTTCTGTTATTTTCTCCCATTATTGACATGTTTTCTAAGCATTTGTCTTGCTCACTTGAGAAATCAATAGGGAAGGAAAAAGGCTGTTAAACTTTCTTAGCAGCTGGTGATGGAAGCATTCCGACATGTGTGTGTTGGTGGTGGGATGCAGTGAATTCACTGCTGGAGACACAAGGGTATAGGCCAGGCTCAGACCCCATTGGTCAGAGGCTCTGTAAGTATCCGGGAAACCTCACTAAGGAAATAAAAGTAGTAAGCTCTAGAAGAAACTCCTTAGGTATCTAGTTATCTTGACCCCAAATCGATTAAAAACCGTAGGGACTAAATAAACTTGCAAAGAACGTATTTGTCTTTATAATATCAAGACTAAGAACATGTTTTGTCTTTAAATTTTAATCATGCATGCATTCTAGGAGGTTGCATTTTTTGAGCTATTAAAAATACATATGTTTCTGCCACATTAGAGGGGAAGGGAGGCTTGTGTGTTGTATTATTAATGTGTTGGAAATGAAATTCTGGTCGGTCTTTGCAAATAGTATATACATATGCTCCAAAACAAAGGATCTGCCATGTGAGTGGAGCCCATGTGGGTTGGTGCCTGTTACTCTGATGCAGTGTGCACTTACTTTTGAGGTCCAAGTTCCTGGCTCCCGCGGTGATTTGTGTTGTGATTTTCGTGTCGATCTTGACAGTGTGGAGATTGCTGGTGTCCCTTGATATCATCACATTGTGCCACTGATTGTCGTTGAGAGGTTTATTTGAGCTCCCTTTGATGAGGTTAGCACCATTTCCCAAATCAAACACATAATGTAAGTACCTGGGAAGAAAGCAAAGTTTGAGAAAGTGCCATCACTTTTTGAATTTTTGATGGAGTCCAACAAGATATTACAAATGGAGATCTTTTTTTCACTTGGTTCAGTCCCCGCTAGAAATCAGAGAGTGAGTTGTACAGATGCTCAGCTAACAAGAAAGAAACAATACAATTTCATCTAGGAGGATTACTCATTGTCTGCTTTACAGTAAACAGTGAAAATTATTTTTAACATCATGGTCTACAACCCACTTTACGACATTGGAAGGTCACCTTTCACTACTCATGCCCTATTTCCACCACACCCTTCAACTTTTGCCAGTTTCTTGCACCTGCTCTCCTTTTGTCTCCTTTTGAATGCCTGTTTCTTATATGGGAAATGAGCTCTCAGCCTTCAAGACTCAGCTCTGATATCCACTCCCTGCCTCATACATTTTCCTCATTTCCCTAAAGACTCTCCTGAACCTTTGCACATGGTCATCTGAGGCAACTTTTCATAAGGCTTTTCTGTTATATTTATGTGTTCACCTGTTTTAGTGCCTGGTACCTTCTCTGGCCCACTGTAGCTATTATAGTGGCTGACTGAATGAATGAGTACCCAAACCAATTAAAAGACATCACATTTTCCTCACTGTTTCAATGAAATTTTACAAAAAATCTTTCCTTCTAAATTCTTCAAGGAATTCTGATAAAGAATTAAGTTTGAGTTAATGGGATTTTGTGGAAGTAATCTGATTACTTAATATTAGATCATTAGCATGCATTTCTATACATTTGTAGAAACTCTTTTGTAGAATTACAGCATGCATAATAAGGAGACCCACATTTGAAGTGTACGATTCATGGAAGGCTTATCATTATTATAACTCAGTATTATTTGTACCTCGCATATGAAAATGTGGGTATAGAAGGCTCTACTGATTTCCTATTAACTTTTAAAATATCTTCATAAAACAAGAAGTGATCTGAGCAAATACATTTTTTTAAAAATTTTTTTCTTTAAATTTTTTTATTGTTATGTTAATCACCATACATTACATCGTTAGTTTTTGATGTAGTGTTCCATGATTCATTGTTTGTGCATAACACCCAGGGCTCCATGCAGAACGTGCCCTCTTTAATACCCACCACCAGGCTAACCCATCCCCCCATCCCCCTCCCCTCTAGAACCCTCAGTTGAGCAAATACATTATTTAAGTCATTCCCCCACACCCCTGCCCACTGCCTTAGAAGCCAAAACATCTGCTTGATGTCTATTTTTGGATATCGAAGTCCATTTTGCAAATTTTTATTTGTCATTGAACTGACATATACTCACCCTTTAACTAATTCAACCACAATAAAGTCATTTCCATCCCCACTATTATATAGAATTAGTCCATCTAGGGATGTTGTCTTGAACTGGAAAAAAAGATGCATAGAAGTGTAGGCTTGCAATGTAGCTAAGGCAACATAGCTCGATTTGGTCTTGAAGGTGACAGGGTCTGCTATGATGTTCCTGAAGCCAAATCTGGCATTGAGCTCACAGTAATCTATGTCACCATTTTTACACAAGTCAATGTATGCCATTCCATTAAATGTCAGGCTCTGCAGGTGTCCAATGAAATTGGAGGGGACAGAAGACAGATACCGGCGTTCCGTGATGATGCCAGTCTCTATGTTATGAAACTCCAGCCTTGTGTGATCGCCTGCCATTTGCCCTGAAAGGGAAGATAATGTATTATTATTATTTTTGTATGTGAAAGAAATGCCCAACTTTAGACTTCCACGACAATATCACATTTTAAAATACAAGGATTCAAATACCCTTTGACATTCAGTTACATATAGTAAAAATATGGCAATGATATTACAGGCTGGATACTTAGTGAAACTTTCTTAGGTCAGGTTTTAATCTCTGTCCAAATTATAGCCTTAACAAAAACCACCTTCGGTAGGCAAAGTTACAGAATTTTTAAAGTAGAAGAAACAAAGGAAGCAAGAAATAGAGGGAAAAAAAGGGAGGAAGGAAGGGAAAGAGGGAGGGAGAGAGAGAAAGGAAAAGGAGGGAAGGGAAAGAAGAAAGAAGGGGGGAGGAAAGGAGAAGGAGGAATTACAGGCAACGATTGTCCCAAATCATTCTTTTAAAGAAAGAGATACATCTCAATTTGGTGAGGATGTATTTTTTTTTTTTAAGATTTTATTTATTCATTTGAGACACAGAGATAGAGAGAGAGAGAGAGCATGAGCAGGGGGAGGGGGAGAGGGAGAGGGAGAAGCAGGCTCCCCGCTGAGCAGAGAGCCTGATGCGGGGGCTCGAACCCAGGACCCTGGGATCACGACCTGAGCCGAAGGCAGACGCTTCACGATCTGAGCCACCCAGGTGCCCTGGATGTGCTTTTCTTTATAAAGAAATGCTCTTCAAGAAAAAAAAAAAAAAGATTGTGTATTTTCCTATACTCAATAGATAAAATGAAGGGCTTCTCACTATTCTTCCAACAATGAACCATGAAAATGTGTCCGAAGTTAAATATGCACTTTTCATCTTCCCTTTTCTGAGCGAAACAATTCCCACAGTCTTTGCTAGAAGACTCCCAGCCACTGCAGAGTTTCTGTTGATCTCTTCTGGACCCAGGCCATTTTCTTTGCACTTACGTTTTGGATACCTAAAGTGGGTCCAAGGCATGCCCAATTTTGAAAATATGAGTAAAATTAACTCACATGACCATAAAGCACATTTTTTTTAAACACCCTCATATGAAGTTTGGTTGCAGATTTATATATTGACTTTTCAACTCAGTCCCCATGCCTCCGCATCCCACCAAATTACTCTGTCAACCCCGGGAAAGTCCAACCTAATCCCACCTATACCTCTAAGGTAATTATTGTAACCTACCTATACTGTTGAAGGTAAAATATACAAAGATATGAACCTGTTTCTCAGTGTACAACATAAAGCACTCTTATCATTGCTAGTGATTCGCACCCAGCATCTTGCTCTTCTTTAATTAAACTGTCATTTGCTTTCTTCTGAAACTCAAAAAGGTCATTTAAATTACAATCAAGTTTTTCCAGGTGCTAGCTTCACTACTCAATTTGGCATAATTGGAAAATTTATCAAGCTTGCCCTATCCCATCATCCATAATATTAATGAAAATATTAGAGCCAATCCCAGGATCAGCCCCTGAGAAAACGCACTGAACCTTCTCGGGTGTAATGAAGATCAAACAACCATCTCCGTGGGCATCCCTCGACCAGTTTGACAGATTTCCATTTCCTTAGTCAAGACAGTAAAATATTAGATGGCATTTTAAGGAAATGCTAGTAAGTGAAACATAAAAGGCCTATTTTTTCTTGTGCAAGAAAAACTGTCTATATACATAATTGATTTTGATGCTTATAAATTCATTGGTGTAAAAAACTCTCCCCTGAGCTGTACTTAATTCCACTTAATTTCCACACCTCTTTACTAGTCCTTGATCCTGGTAACAGCATTTCTGCCATCCCTTGACATGTTCTCTTTTCAGCTATTAGGTTTTTTTTTTTTTCTGATTCTGTCCCTGCAAATTTTTTTTAATACAAAAACTATGACCGTAAATAATTGTCTCTCCTCCTCCTTCCTCCCCACAATGCCTCCTTGTCTGATGTAAAAATACTATTAAATCCCTAGCATTTCTGGTTTCTTGTATGACATCATTTTTCTCTCCTTCAGTTCTTTTGTTCAATGACCTCAATACTATTTTGTAGGGACTTACCTTGTTGTTAGCAAATACAAGGAGCCTTTAAGAATTTTCAAATATCACACCAGAAACATTGAATTAATAAACTATATAGAAGGAAGAATATAAAAAACTGAAAAAAATCACTTGGGCTTTTATACTTCCTTTTGTTGATTTTTTATGTTTCATTATATTAAAATCTGAGCCTTAACTCAATGAACCCACCCCCAAGCGTGAAACTGTCATTTTTTTTCTTAAAAGCTCCATTAGTGAACCAACAGATAGTAAGGAAATGCCACCCCCTAGCCCACCCCTCCCCCTAAATTTCAGATACTTAAAATTAAATATTATCTCCAACTGTCAAGTTCTTGATAGCTCTGAAATAGGGAAGCACATTTTGTTTAGCAGGACCGAGAAGTTCAGTGATAAAAATAACAAGTGATGTCTGTTTTCTTTTCTCAAAGGAATAGAATATGTATGCAAGAGCATAAATAATAAAAAGGTAGTAAAACAGTTTGGGAGCAACCATGGCCCAGTTACAAGAAAAATCATTATGGCCCATGTTCAAGAGTCTATTCTTTCTTTAATGAGCACATATAAATCGCATTGACAGTAATGGCAGATATGCTTGCTCGCGAGGGAGAATTAGCACCTAAAAGCCATTATCCACCGACTAGGAAGATATTAACTGCTGCCTCCTAAACATTCTTTTTTTCCCCTCAGAATTTACTCCAGAGTTTAATCCCCTGGCAGTAATTGTAACCACCTCTACTATTAGACACATATATTATGAAAAAATAAAGGACATTAAAGGAGAAAGATTTTTTTAAGGTTCTAAGCATTTAAAAATGTAGTGTCTTCTCCAGAGATGGAGTGAAAAGAGAATCTCAAGTTAGCAAAATACTTCTGATCAAAGGGTTTGGGTATCCTAGAACAACAATAATCTCCAACGAGAAACAACCACTGGTCTGTGTGTCTGCACAGAAATCTTACCATGCAAATCAAATCTTTATACCCAAGCAGATAACACTATCACCTATTGTATGTTTAGTCTTGCTCAGAGTCAGGCTAAATTTCAGCTGCAGAACAAAATAACCCCCAGCCCTACATCAACTTGTTAATTCACTTAAAGTTATTGAGTGTGTGGTGTGTATATGTGTGTGTGTCAGGTGTTGTTAGGTAATGAAGAAATAGTATAGTGAGGAGCAGACTTGGCTCCTGTATTCATAAAACTCATGGATTATTGGGGAAAGGCATACAAAAAGAGGTAAGGAAATAATAAAATATATAATGCAAAATTAAAAAAACTTGCTATGAATTTGATAATCAGGGAGTTGTGTAAGTATGGAATGGGGGCCTGAGTTAACATTTAAGTTCAATTTGAAGGATTAAAAAGAGAAAGACATGCTGAGAACTGGAGAAGCAAAATGGGGAGGTAGAGTCCAGGAAGGGGAAACAGATGAACACAGGCTGAGGTGACAAAAAGCTAGAAAGTGTGGCTGGAGACTCAGGATAAGTGAAATTAGTGGCTCAAGGGAAATGAGAAGAGAGTCACGGGCCAGATAATCACGCACAGCATCTCCTGATTACCTTTGTCGGCACCGGAGGGTTTTAGGCAGGCAAAAGCCACGAATGAGAGAAAGAGAAAGAGAGTCTCATTCTCTCTAATATATGTATAGTAAACTGGAGACAATTTAAAGTAGGATAGTTATAGCAGAAATGGAAAAAAAAAAGACATGAAACGAGATAATTTTGCAGATATAATCTGCAGGATTTACCAATAATGTATAGATGATGGAGAGGAGGAAAATTGTAAGCAGAGTTAGGGGGTCCCCAGCAAAAGAAAAATGAGACACGGCTTTCATGACACTAGAGAGAAGTCGTTTTAGCTCTATTTGTCCAAACACACTCTCAGCAGAAATTCCTAGGAGGTGTAAGAATTACAAAGAAATGCAAAAGCATCCACAGTTAAGGATACCAAGGGGAAAAAAAGGGAATGCAAAAACTAAAGGTCTCTACCAGGCCTGGAAATAGCTTAACCATATCAGAGACAATAAATCAGTGGTAAAAACTTGCAGTGCTGTTTCAAAAGTAAGCAAGACCCTGCATTCCTTACCTGAAATAAGGGCCCAAGACGCTATCCAGTTTATACCGGTTTTGGAGCCTGCCCAGAGCCCTTTCCCTTGTCCGACAGTTACCTCTGCTTCATTATAATGTTACAGTCTCCGCCCAAGGACGAGCACAAGCTTCATTACCATAATTTACGATGCAGGTATAGGTATGCTTTCTAAGTACACCTGAGCAAGCCTTTACCTGGGACGACAAAGTTCTCCTTTTTGAATATTCTTCCTAACCCTAAAAAAAAGAACACCTCTCCTCATGTGTAGGGAGTCACAGGCTTGGAAATTGTTCTTTGTCATCTCCTTATTTGCTGCAAATACAGTTTGCTTTGTGCGACAACTCCACCTGGTGTCGTCACCATCTGTAAGTCTCCAAGGAGTGAACTCAGGTTAGCTCCATTACAGGATGATGATGCCCAGCCTGCCGGCTTGAGTAACTGCACGTATGCTAAATGTTGTTCAACAAAAGACCCACTAACATACACACATGTATAAAACACATAGTTCAGAATTTTTAGAGAGACTAAGTGATGAGTTGAAACCCAAGAAATCCCTACTTAGGGATCCCATATAGCCTGTAGAACCCTTTCCTGTCTAAGGCCTAGGGAATCCCTCCCTTAAGTTTCTTTCATGTCTCATGACCCTAGGTGAGATGCAGACATTCCCAAGAATGAATGGCCTGCGTATGCACTGTGCTGTGTTTAACACAGGCTTAACAGTACATTTAACTCTAATTTAAAGATGAGGTCAAATGTAGGAAGAAATACATGAAGAGTGTCTAGTGCTTTCCTTTAAATGTTTTCCTCTTTAATGATTCCTGACTTGCTATAAAATTCAATAAAACACAAAAAAGGACAAAACCAAAAAAAAAATTAAAAAAA